TAAGTAAATTACTGCTTAGACTAAAATGGACAAAATCAGTGATTATATAAATTTTAAATATTGTTCTATCTAATCCTGCGTATATATATATTCTGGGAATTAAAATTACTATAATATTGTTTTATAAAAATTGATTGCTTGCAGTGTTTTTCTTAATTAATTCAAATATGAAAAATTATAACAATAATTTGCTCAGTTCATCAAATGTACTTACCTGAGAAGCTTGGTGTACTAAATGCTAGTCTACTAGATGATCTTCTGTAATGATTATTAGTAGCTCTTTTTAATGCAATCAACTCCCAATTTTCTATAGATCCAAGAACCATAAACCAACCTATATCTTTAGGTTTGGAAAATTTTGGAGCATGAGCTTTTGATGGAATCACTCGATTTAAAATTTTAGTTTCAACTATTAAAGTATATTCATTGTTTCCTAATATTTCCATTCTTTCACCATTTCTAACCAATTTCTAAAAATATTAAACAGTTAATAACAATAGCCTTTACAAAAATATATATTTGTTAGGATTTAAACCTTTTGAACTTCAGAACTATCAGGCCAATAACCTTGTATATATAATTGAACATTAACAACAGGCATTTCAACAACAGTTTTATAAATCTAAAATGAGTATTTAATGAAGCATTAGTATCACACCCAAAATATACTGAATTCCTTAAAATAATTTTTTTTGCATTAAATACCTTATTAATCTCCTCTGGTTCTAATTGAGTTTTTAAAAAAATATTTAAAAACTGGTCATAACTCTTAAGAGCAACATTGCACAAATGTGGTAAACAAAGTAGATTTAAAATGTTAGATGGAATTAAATGCTTTTCTACTAAAGGTAGTGTAAAAACAGGTGGATCAGTCACCCAACGAGCTTGAATAACCATTTGCATAAGTTGCATTAATTTAAGGCATAATACTAAATATCCTTCCTCTGCAGTAATATCAATCATAGCTTGCAGTATACGTATTGATTGATCAAGAACTGATTTTAGATCAGTAATATAATCGGTACATGGCATTTTTAAATGTGAAAAATGAGCTTGGAGCAAGATAAGAGTTTTTGTGTGTGAACACTCAAATGGTCGTCCATCAATATTTAAAGGACATTGTTTATCTAGTTCCCTATATAAAACTCCATTTATTAATTTAAATGAACACTAAATAATTGCTAAATATGTTAAGCAATTTACTTACGCATTCATTAAATCTTCATTATGCCTGACAGGTAAAAGACTAAATTCTTCAGCATCAACTAAAACTTTAATTAAATCTTCCAAGCTTAATTCACCTTTCAATCTTTCTCTGAATATTTTTACAGTTTTATGTTGTAAATAATAATATGATGCAATATGACCAAGAGATGTTGGTTTAACATTACGCTGATCCTATAATAAGTCATTTCATTTTTTTTAGTCAAACTTATCTCAAGTAAAATCACTATATCCTGTTAAGACTAACAAAAAACAATCTTACCTCATCAATATCAACACAATAACTTGAGTATAGTGTTCCAATACAGCTTTCAACCAAGTCAGAAAGGAAATCATTGATAGAACTCTCTTCTAAACTATGCAATCCATAATATTCTGGATTTTTCATTAGTCTTTGAAGGAGATAGGTCCAAGTTAAATACTCAATTGCATCTTGCTTTGTTTTTATTGTCCCAGCCACAATTTCAGCATTAATATGGTCTGGTAATACATTCAACAAAGATGATTCAACTGGGAATGGTTCGTACAAGAATTTCTTGTAAAATGTTTTTTTTATATCGTGTACCTAAAATAAATTACCAACAACCAATTAATATTAGTGATCTGTCAAACAATATTTTAGACAATTAATGAAATTTAATTTTTTATCGTGTAGGATTGTAATATTTACAATTATTTATATTTATGTTCATATTAATATTTGAGTGTAACTCAACATTAGTTACCCCAGATAATGTATGCATTATTTGCCCTTAAATTATTAATTGTAAANATGCATTATTTGCCCTTAAATTATTAATTGTAAATGTTATAGTTCAATTATACAATTGGTATTTCAATACCAATTGAAGAAACATCAATATTTGAAGAAAAAAGTATAATAAATGGTAAATTGATTTTTGTTCTTTATGAACTTGTGATTTTAATAAATAATTTTCACACTGTTGATTGACTAAAATAATTTAAAAAAATTTATCGAGAAATCATATTTTAATTGTTGTGCTTAAAATATTTCTATTAATATTAAGTATATTTAAAAAATAAAAAACAATTTTTTTTAATAATATTAAAATATATATATTATATACCATAATTAATGCAATTCCCATGTTGTCATATTGAGGTCTACCTGCACGGCCCATCATTTGAAGAACATCGGTTATAGGCATATCAACATATCTTTTTTGTTTACCATCATAAAACTCAGTTCCTTTAACTATAACAAAATGTGCTGGAAAATTAACTCCCCAAGCTAAAGTAGAAGTAGCAATAAGAACCTGAAACAATCATTATGTTATCATTACTAGATATAAATTAGAATTGATAAACAATGCCTTATATTTGCCATTAATGTTAATAATACAAGAGTAATATTTATGTTTTTTAATTTTCTCTATTATGGATTAGGTTATTTTTGGATTAAACCATAAAATATTTTTTTAATTAATAAAAAAATCTAAATCTGTTACTGATTATTTCACTAACAACTTACTTGAATATATTGATTAACAAATAATTCTTCTACAATTTTTCTATCATTATCTTGTAATCCAGCATGATGAAGACCTAATCCAAATGCAAGGCATAATTTTAAATTAGGATCTCTGATATTTTCAATAATTTGATCCATTTCCTAATACAAATATTGAAATTTAAATATTTTATGTTAGTTACACATAAAACAGATAATTTTAACATCAGCCTCTCAATTTCTCTTAAAAAAATTATTATGTTGCAAAAACTCTTTTTGATATTTTTTAGTTTTATATACTTCTTGATTTATCAAATATAAGTATTTTTTTAATACTAGACATTTTTCAGCCTCATTCCTCCTCCTGCTTAAGTATAACTTCTGAAATACTGATCCAAAAGTTTTTATCATCCAGTTTTTTTCTTAATTACGTCATTTTCTATTTTATAAACTAGTTATATATATGTTGCAATTAAAAAAAATAAAGTTGACACCCTTATACAGAATAAGGGATGAATTAATAATTGATAAATCAAGAAATATATGAAACTAAAAAATATTAAAAAAATATAAAATACATATGATTAGACGGTTGTTAAAATAAGAATTAACTATTTATAATGAAATATTCATAGAATTTATAATAAACAGCACTAAATATAAAGTATAAAAAAAAAATCTATTCATTTCTTACATAATCATTCTTATGAACCCATTGTTTAGGGTTATCTTCTCCTCCTAAATATGCTATTAGATCAAGTGCAGTTAATCTAGTTTGTCTTCTTGATGATACAAAAATCATAACAGGTTGAGTAGGAGAATGTTGACGTATAGCTTGATAAATTGGCTTGTTCATAGTTGCCATTCTAGGACAATAATTTCTTCCTGCATAGCCACTAATATGCACCTCAAGTGGAACAGGCCGTACAGAAGGACGAAAATTGTAAAGACCCATTTCACCGATATGTAACCAAGAAGCTAGATCAGCAGCGGTTGATAAAGCAGTAGTTAATGCAATAATGCGAGTATGCTGACCAGAATGAGTTGAAATGAAATTTATACGGGATATAATTATTTCTAAAACTGGTCCTCTTTCTTCTCCTAGTAAATGAACTTCATCAAGAACCACTAATGCAACTTGTCGAACATAATTTCGTGTTTGCCAACTTCGTGAAACACCATCCCATTTTTCTGGTGTTGTAACAATTACAGATGCATTAGTTATTGCTTTAATATCTGGTGTAACATCACCTAAAATTCAATTCAAAGATATCCTTTAATATTAATAGTTTTTATTGTATAAAATACAACCTAGTACCTGTTAATTCAACAACTGACTTTTTTAACTTTTCTTCAAGTCTTACTTTCCAGTCAATTATTCGTTCTCGTACAAGAGCTTTTAAAGGTGCAATATAAACGACCTGGAAAATTACAAAAAAAAGGAACTCTTCCTTGAATATAAATAATACAATAATAATAATACTTTTGGGAGGTAAATCAAATAAGCCATAAATATACGTTTTTATTATATTCATGATTAAAATACATAAAATTAAAAAAATACATGTATGTTAATATTTTAGTTGCAAATAAATCTTTCATAACTAACCCTATNTGTTAATATTTTAGTTGCAAATAAATAACTAACCCTATTTCGCAACTGAACTGTAATAATACACACATGAAATAAACCCATCAATAATAATATTATTGTAAACATATTTCAATTTAAGAAGCCTCTACTATATTATCATTGTAATAGCATACTCACTTTATCAATGAGTAAGCATTAGAATTCAGCATCAAAGCTCTAGACTTATTAAGTATTCTTTATGACTATTCCTTATGTCTTATAAAGAATAACTTTTAATGACAACATGTATTTCACTAGCTTATACAGAGTGATTTTTTTATCATAAACTATTTAATTACTTGCAGAATAAAAATAATCTAAACATTTTTTTTTTGTTACCATTAGTTACATATTATTTTTAAATTATTAGCTATATAATATTAAAAGTTCATCCCTTATATATTGCAAGGGTGTCCATTTTTAAATGGGAACAAATTTTAAATTTAATATATAAGTTTATTTGTTTATTGGATATAAAACTTTTAAGTTTCAACTTTATGAGTCATTACACATATAATATACAAAGGATTATAAGTACACAGGTAGCTAATTGTTTTTTAAATTATGTCGCTATCACAGATACAGAGCGTTTGTACTGCCAATTGATGTATTTATAAGCTCACAATGTATCTTATTACCATTGATAAAAAACGATGCATATCTGCTAATATTGACATCATAAAAAAACAATTATTATATAATATTTAACATTATATTTTTAATATATAATAAAGTTATATATTAAATTCAAATGCCATTTACAATTAAAATAAAACATCAAACATTTTACTATGTTAAAATGTGTTCCCATTTGAACAAACAAAGTTGACATCCTTACAATACATAAGAGATGAACTAAAAAGTATTACATAACTACTAATTCAAGAATAATATGTTTAAGTTGTATTCTGTAAGTAATTGAGTAGTTTATGAAAAAAAATTACTCTGTATATTAGAAAATAATCTAATCAAGAAAATTATTTAACTATAATTTTAATACTTAAATCAATTTATTTTATTTTATTTACAAATGTTTAAGGAGTAAAAATATTAAATGTTCTAAGTGTCAATTTTTTTTTCAGAGGACAAAAATATTACAAATTTAAAAATCAATAAAAAATTTTTATAAAAATATAAAATGTACTTTTTTTATATAATTATAACCTCTTTAAGTTTAATTATTATTTATTTATAGGTTTCTAACACAAATTCTTAGTCTACTCAAAGAAAAGAAAGTACCCACAATAAACTTATGAATTGATAAATTTATGAAACTTAAAAATAATCCGAATAAACACAAAACCAGAATTAAAAATATATCTCAACATTAAAACAATTTATCCAATCATTTAAATTTTTATAGTACTAAATTCTTTATATCACATACTTTAGCTTCAGGCTGTTCATTGAAAACTCTAAACATAGCAATTTCTGCAGCAATAGTTTTACCGGATCCAGTAGGGGCTCCTAAGAGTACATTATTATCTGTATGATACAAACAATGAAAAATTTGAGTTTGTATTGGATTGAAATGAGTAAACTTGTATAAATTTTGGTAGTCTTGATTTTTAAGAGCTGATAATGGCAATGGATGAAGTTCAAGCAAGTCTAACCAAAATTATATAAATATTAATTAATTCTAAATTTAGAAAATAAATTTATAAAATACCTGTTACTGAAGCATGGCTGTGAGGTAATATGAGATGTTGAAATGTTAAGGGAATTGTGTAAGTAGTACCCAGCCATCTATCTGATGTACAGTGTAAAATGTATTGAGACGGAAGTGGTTCAACAAGAGGTATTGTAAAAACTAATTTTTGAACTTCTTTTTTGATAACCTTATTTTTTTTAAAGGGACTTTTAAGTAATATTTCCTTAATTTATTTAATAATTTAAACATACTTGTCTTTTTGAAATTAAGAATTGTTCCCAATGATAAATATGATCAGTTTCAGGATCTTCTATCCAAATCCAAAATGCAACTGATGTTTTCCCATGGAATTTATCATTCCACTCAAATTCTGGGTAAAGTTCAAGATTTATTCTTAAAATGGTTCTTGTAATAGGTTGAATACTCTCTGTAGCTTCAATATAAGGCAGCTGCATAGCACATTTTTTTACTGCAGCACCAATATTTTGGTTTCTTAATAAAATTCCTAAAAAATAAGTAGAATCTCAATATAAAATATCATTTAACTAGGGATTAGACTTTTGAATTTTAATATTTAAAATAAAAAACTTACCTAACTCTTTTGAGTCCATTTCTCTAATTTGATTAAATGTTAATTTTCTTTGTTCTATTTTATCAATAATTTCCCAAGGAAGAACATCTGAAAATTGCCTCAATTCAGATTCAAAGTCCCATTGTCTCATCTCAAACATTTGACTGACTTCCAACAGTTTCGATGATAACATGGCATTATTGCGACGTAAGACCATGTCAAACAGGGCCCGGGCAATTCTTGTAGCATTCTAAGTTTTATAGCATAGTCATTAACGAAAATTTATGTTATTAACAAAATTTAGGAACATTACTACAACACCATACAAAATTCCAGCTTACTTGTGAGATATAAACAAGGTCCGATATTAATGAAAATCCTTTTGCTCTACCTCTAGCTAAATAAGTTTGTAAAAGAATGTTTACTTTGCCATTAATATTCACTGCTGATCCTTTGCATTCAACATGACAATATTTACGACTCAATGATTCTAACTCTACCACTTCATCATCTCTAACCTAGAAAATTCGATTTATTTTTTAATTTGGACTTCAATTTATCATTTAGGTTAACAATTAATATTAGAGGAAAATAAAAATTACTTGTAGTTGCTCAAATTCTTTTGCACTTGCTATCATAGTAAGTATTTCTGATAAGTTCATAAAAGGTGCCATGGTCTGATTAAATATTTCAATACTGTCATGACTTATGTAAAAATGACTGGCAGTTCGTCCCAGATCTAAAAATATAATTATTTAAGTTTCAATTAGATATAATTGAAATAATAATTAAAGCTACATATTTTAACAAATAACAAAATAACTTATGACCTAAACCATATGATTATAAGATATATTAAAAAATTATACACATTATTCAAATAATTATCTGAAAACATAATATATTTCGGTATTACAATTTATTTTTCAATAAATTTAAAATAAAAAAAACTTTTTTAATACATAACTATAATGCAGATTAATATTTTATTAAATAGAATAGTTTTCTTAATTCAAATAACAAATAAATTATTCTGAGTCATAATAAATTTTTTTTTTCTAAAAGAGGCAGCAAAATAGTTTTATTTCAACAATGCCTTTTGATAAAAAAAAAAGCATTGATAAACACAATTTCTAGCTTCAATCTGTCTTAGTTTTAAATTTTAATATCAAAAGCTGATTATCAACTATTTTTGTTTAAAAATAATATTAAACAAAACTATTATTAATTAATATTCTAGTTAAATCAACTCATTAAATTACTTCTAAAAATAACCTTTTTTTTAAATACTTGATGCAAACTATGTTCAATTTTTTATTTATACAATTTATATTTATCTATATATGAGGAGAGAAATTTTGTTTTATGTGCAAAGGAGAATACGAGGTAGGTGAAATAAGGAGTTCAGTGACAATAGACGAGGATGTGATAGGAAAGGGGGAAAGTTTTAAATATTTAAAATCAGTTGTGCAAAAGAGCAATAGTATTGATGAGGATATAAGACATAGGATTAAGTGCAGGTGGTTAAAGTGGAGGGAAGCATGTGGTGTATTGTGGGATAAAAGAATTCCAATGAAGCTGAAAAGTAAATTCTATAAGACTGTAGTGAGACTAGCTATGATATATGGTTCAAAGTGTTGGGCGGTTGATAAGAAAGTAGAGAAGAGAATGAGTGTAGCAGAGATGAAAATGCTTAGATGGATGAATGGAGTTATTAGAGAAGATAGGATAAGGAACGAACATATAAGAAGGAGTATAGGTTGTAAGAAAATTTATTACTATGTTCTTACCACTTATATTATACATGTTTTATTTCCATTTACTTAATTTGTGTTACATATTAATTAACACAGAGGGAGATGGTGATGTGACAATTCTACTCATCTGTAGCCCAGAGCTACTGACGTCAAACTAACAAAGGGCAGTTATGTGTAAGTCGCTGTTATAGACATAACTTTTAATGCTATTACTTTCGTCTTATTTATATTATTAATAACTTAACTTGTTTTATTCGACGACTCGTCTATTGCCAATCATAGCCAACCAACTCCGTTTCACTTGGATATGCCTACTAACCAACTGTACTAAGATTCAGGTCAGATGTATTGTACATCTCTTGTAACTAAAGTGCATGATTGCCTGTGTCTCCTTCAGGTTATTAAAACTCATTTAAAGAGATAGGGACAATATTTGGGCAGATGTCGGGTAACTTCTGATTCTTGGTTTTGACCAAGATCCTCAAATATTAAGCTAGCTCCTAATAAGGTATAGCGTCAATTATAGATGAGATGAGAGAAAATAGACTTAAATAGTTTGGTCATATTATTAGGGGGAACGGAAGCAGTAAGAACAGTTATAGAAATGAATGTTAAAGGAAGAAGAGGTAGAGGAAGACCAAAAGAGATGAAGGAATGTAATTGAATGCAATATGAGGACGATGTGATGTGAGCATAGATGATGTGGGAAATCATATTAAGTGGAAATTTTTCTTTTCTTTACATCATTGTTTAAAGCATAAATCACAGCCACTAATTCAATGTTGTTTTAATTGAAGGCAAATTTCTTTTTTTATTCGCCTATATAATAAAACTGAATAAAATTTAACTTTCACAGTACTCTATAAGACATTTAAAATAAAAAATAAAACTGCTTAAATGTATATAATGGATGTAAAAGCACATTTTTTTCAAAATGATTTTCTATTTATGTCTACTGGCGGATAAACCGCCATGTGTAAAATTTTATGTTTTTTATTTTTTCTTTTAAAAGAACTTTTTGATATTTAGATCACTTAATATTATCACATTAATAATTTTAAGTTTATATAGAATAATAATAATAAATATAATAAAATTATTTTCTAACCAGTGGATGCGAGATCTCCAGTTCTCTCGTTGTAACGTAACATTTGAGCTCTATCTAATGCCATAGCTGCATTTATGATGAATTCTTTTCTTTTATTAACTAACATAGGATCCAACTATATTATTAAAAATAAAATATCAATAAAAGTTTTTAGTATATTTTTTTAATTGTTTTAAGGTAATTACTTCTACTTCATCTAGTAATATACCATACACATGTGGATTTATACGCATTCTAACAAACAAATAAGTATAGCTTAACCATAACACTGCTTCTTCTACATTAGATATTGTACCTAAAACTACCTATTAAAAATTTTAAATGGTTCAAAAAATTTTATTATTAAATAAATACTTTTCATAAGAAACTTTTTTACATGAACCTAGTCATATAGTTATTGAAATTCTTGAATAGTTATAAAAGTATTTAAATTACTTTTAAGGATTTTTTTCTTACTTCAGCATTTAAATTGTTAACAAGATGTTGCACAAAACAACTTTCAATTGGTATTTGATTTGTTAGTAATGAAAGGTATTTATGTAGTTTAGCATGTGGAGTAATTATAATTCCATGTCCAGAAGTATCAAACTGAGGACGACCAGCTCTTCCAAATATTTGCAAAACATCAAGCATACCTAGATCTACAAATGTTCCATGTTTAGAGTCATACAACTCTGTACCCTAAAAAAGTAAAAAAAATAAAGTTGTGATTGTCATAAAAATAATTTAAAAAACTTGATTTACTTTTATGATAACAGCATGAGCAGGAAGATTAACACCCCAAGCTAATGTAGCTGTACATACTAATACTTTTATGGCACCCTCAGCAAAATATTTTTCAACTAAATTCCTGTAAAAATAGAAATTAAACGGGATATTTAAAATATGATCTATAGTTAAAAATAAATTAGTAAAAAGAAAATTTTAAACAAATATAATATATTTTTAGATTTGATACCTATCTGATCTTAAGAGGCCTGCATGATGAATAGAAAATCCACTGTTCAATAATTCACTTAGTTCTTTTGAATGACATCGTTCAAATGCTTTCTTTGCTACTCCTATCCGGTTGGAATCTTCAGGCAAAAAATCAGATAAATGATTTTTTTGAGTTGCAAGTTCTCTAAATACATTAGCTGTCTTTACGGTAGCATTACGGGCATGAACAAACACCATGACCTAGAATATTATGAAAATTAATATAATTAAAAACTAAGATATTTTATTTAGATCAAAATAATACAGTTTTCACATACTTGATGTCCTTTTTGAACCATTTCATGCAATTTATCATAACAAACTGAATCCATTTCTTGTTGCATTTTAACTGTCTTACTTCCTCGAACCCCAATAAATGTCTGAATCAAAGGCACTGGACGAAAACGTCCATCAAAATAGAATAAACCTTTTTGAAAGTTAACTCTTAAAAATCGAGCAACATCTTTATAATTTGGTAAAGTAGCTGATAATCCAACAATACGAATCATATTTTGAGATGACTCAACCTGTCGTAAAGTACGTGCTACAAGTGCTTCTAACACTGGACCTCGATCACCATGTAATAAATGAACTTCATCAATAATTAATAATTTAACCAGACTAGTTAAAGCAATATCACCTGTTAGAGTAAATCAAAATAAAATATAAATTATGTTATACTTGTAATCTATAAGATTTATAAAAATATATATTTAATTATACCAGTTCCCTTGCGAGTTGCTACATCCCACTTCTCAGGTGTTGTTACTAATATTTGAGTGCTAGTAATTTCAGCTTTAGTTAAAGACATATCACCAGTAAATTCACGAACAGTAATACCCAAACTTAATAGTCTTCTAGAGAAGTTAGCAGTCATCTCAGATGCTAGAGCTTTCATTGGAGCAACATAAACAATCTAATTATAAATTAATCAATATTTTCGAATTATTAACTCAAAAGCTTAATTTGTAAATATTGTTTTTTTTAAATAATAATGAAATTTACCTTGAATTCACTTTTATTAATTTCATTATTTTGTATATGTTGTTTAATTTGATGTACTATTGTCAATAAAGCAACATTTGTTTTACCAGCTCCAGTGGGAGCACATACCAAAAGATTTTCATTTGTATTGTACGCTGCATCAAAAACAACAGATTGTATTCTATTTAAACTTTGAATACCACTAAATGCTTTTTGGCCAATCTAAAATAATTTTTAAAATATAAAACACATTTAGAAATATATTTGTATGCAAATACACATACTATACTAATATTTTTTTTTTATTTTTATTTAAAAAATATGCTTAAAATATATTTTTTTAATGTAAAATAGTAATAGCCACAATTTAACATTTATTTCAAATGAATTAAAAACAATAATATTTACCTCATCTAATGTTTTAACAGCAACTAGTTTTTTGCCAACTGTTAAATCTTGTGACAACCTAGTAGGTGGAATGTACACTTCTTCATAAGTTTTATGATCAGTTCTTTTAGCTCCAATAGGAATAGTACAAGGATCTCCATTTATATAACCTTTATGTTAATCAATTTCATATTAAAACCTTTTTGTTTTTAATAAGTTACAATACAATGGTTACACTTACAACTTGATACTTTTGATTCTGAATTTATGTCATATACATGTGGAAACTTTTCAGCTAAAGGTGCCTTACAACTCTTTGGATCAATAAACATGGGGACATTCGGTGCACTAGTACTAAAATACAGGTAATAAGGGTATTTTAAAAATAAATTTAACATCTATTATATTTAAATTTTACAATAAAATATTTTATTTTAAAACTAACGTCTTAGAAACTATTTTAATTGCTTCATCATCAGAATCAGATTCTCTTCGTCGATTAAATCTTTGAAGGGCTTTTTCTTCTTTTCTCAATTCTTTTCTAAGTTTCTTATCTTCTTCAGTTTCAATAGTTATCATTTCCATATGTCTTGGTTGTTTATCCATCTCTAAGAATAATATTTTTTTCATTTTTATTATTAAACAAAATTAATACAAAATATTAAATAAATATTATCGTTTGATTCATACTTATATCTTTGGCATTGAATGCAAATCTTCTTTCATCTGAAGAAAAATTTTGCTTGACTATGTTATTCCTATGCTTTAGAAGAATTTCTATGAGATCAAGACGTTTAAATCCAAGCAAATTAAACAACTAGAAAGTATTAGTAAAACATACTCTATATAATAAAAAACAGTGTGTATATTAAAAAGCAGTATTTTAGTTATAATATTAAAATGTTTACTTTTTAAAAACTACTATAAATACTAATTATTAATTTTACAAATAATTCAAAACAATATTATGTCTAAAGATTTGTATAACTTTTTTTTTTGTTGTCTTATTTTATTTGCATTAATTATGGTATTATTCTACTCTTTCCTTTAAATATAAATACAATATTATAAAATGGTTATACATATACTATAAATAGTAAAATATAATATATATTTTATTCTATATTTATTGTTACTATTCAGTATATTTGAATTGCAATAATTTAAAGAAAATGTTCAGGACACAATTTTAGTTACATTAGATAGGTTGCCTACACTGAATAATTAATTGTTTTATTACGAATATGAAGGTTGATAATAGTAAAATAATAACACATCATATCATATTAGCACAGTTTTATCTTCTCTGTGATATGAGTGTTTATATGTTGAAATTCCCTCTCTCTAATACACTGTACTTTAAATTTTCTTGTAAACGTGCGATACAGATTAGAAATAAAAATTTAACTATAACAAGATTATTCAATAAGTAATTTTAATATTTTATAAAATTTATACTAATTGAATCACATCAATTCTTAAGGATGTTGGACATTAAACTAAATATTGTATCTGAAATTAATACATCTATCATCAGGCAATATATTTGTGCTGCAACTGGAATGTTAGAAACTGACTTTTATATGATATTAAATGGAAAAATATTAAATGAAACTATAGTTAAAAGTGGTACAGTACAAATTGTTCCTCGTTTATTAGGAGGAAAGGGAGGTTTTGGTTCTATGTTACGTGCTATTGGTGCTCAAATAGAAAAAACAACTAATCGTGAAGCATGTCGTGACTTAAGTGGAAGACGTTTACGAGATATAAATGAAGAGAAGCGTGTAAAAGAATTCTTAGCTAAAGGTAATCAGTCCACAGAAGATCCTGAAGAACGAAAAAAAAGAAAGTTACAACGCTTATGTCAAAAACCTAAAACTGAATTCAAGGATGAACATTACGAAAAAAATATGTCAGAAATGGCAGAATTTGTGTCAGAAGCAGTAGAATATGGTTTAAAAGCAGGAACATCAGAACCTAAAAAAAAGAAAAAGGCAAGATCTAAAGGATATTTTGATTCAGATTTAGATACAGACAGTAGCAGTGATTTAGGTGAGGAAAAAACAGATTCAGATGAAAAGGTATCATTACATAGTAATATAGAACCAGAAATAACAACTAAAAGAAAAAACTGTGAATTGGAAGAAGAATTGACCTCGCTAAAAAAAATTAAACAAGGAAATTAAAAATTATTTTGTATATTATTATGGTTCCTTCTTTTTTTTTGACAAGTTAATTTTCTATTTTTTAATTTTATCCCAACAATTCATTTAATATTATGATAAATTTAAAAAAAAAGTTATTTAATATTATACATTAAATTATCAAAAGACATGTATAAGTGTTTACAAACAAATATACAAAATATTATGACTTAAGTATATTTGTTTTATGATTATTTCTTTTCTTGTTATTGTTCTATTACAATAACTTCACTTGTTACTCTAAAGTTATATCTTTGAATGAAAAAAAACCATAACAGAATTACCAAGTATTTAAAAAAGAATTAAAGTTGAGAATTGAAAATAATTAAAGTCAACATTTTTAATTTAAACAAAATCTTTGCTCTATCTTCATTGTGTATAATGATTTAAAGAAAAATGTTGAACAATATGGAATGCGCATCATGATGATTTTTACTTAAGCATCAAGTATTTTTTTAATTTGGGTAAATATTCAGTTTTTATTTAAAAAAAATGAAACTAAATTAGATATTTATATAGTGTTATTTACAATATAACTTCCTATTTTTCATTAAATGATAATTTTTTTTTTTTTTAATTATGTACAAATTAGAATTTAATTCATTTTTATGAACTGTAAATACCTAGTTTATTATAAAAAAATATTATTTCTATAGGTAGATTTTAGGCTTCATTTTTGTAAATTTTACAAAGAAAAAAATTGTTCGATATCAAAGAACTCTATAATAATCTGTTGTTAAATAATTTTTTTTATCCGATCAACTGTTTGTGTTTTAAAATTATTTAACCATTTAAATTCATAACTAACTTAGTTGTCCATAATACCGGAGCAACAATAATCCGTTTCAATGGACCATGAATAATTATTGTTATTTATTCTTTCTATCGTATGTAACAATTATGATAACAAGAACTATGAATAAAAACATGTTAAGTGACATCATGAAGAAATTAGTCAAAAATTACTAAAATTAAACAAAGCAATAACAGAAGAATGGTTTAACAGATAAAAAATATATAAGCAAAACTATTTGAACATTATTTTTCATATCATGACTTTATTCAATTAAAAGTATAAGTTATTAAAAAAGAAGACAAATGCTTGAGTTTTAATTCTTTGGGATTGAAAAAATGAATTACTTAACTACATATTTATAGAATTTGTTTAATTAAACAATATTTTCTTTTATAAAGATAAAAAATATTTAATAGTTCTAATAAAATGAGTATCTTAACCTTAATAAATCACACTGCCTGTATGGGTTTATATTAAATTTTGTTTTGTCATTAACCAGTTTTGTATTATTAATTTTTTAGATATTAGAATTCCAAGATTTAAAAAAGGTAGTGTTTAGTGACACTATTTTTACCATAACACAGATAAGAATTCTTCCAACACCTCTCTAGCCTATAACTAAAAGTTATAATTCAAAAAGTAATAATACAACTTTAGTTATTAACCAGTCAAAATTGTATTTAGATTACTCTCTATTTAATAGTAAAAAATCAAAATAGATTCCTATTTAACTTTTCAAAGGTAGCTGAAAAAAGTAAACCTGAAATCTACCTTTGGAAATGATTTTTTCTCACAATAAACTTGCTATTTTCTATGATTCATACAAATAATTAAAATTTTTAATTGTACGTTTCTATAAAACAATCATTATTTTAAATAAATATGGAGAATTATTATTAATAAATCACATTGTAACAGCGGTTTTTCACCAGGAAAGTCATTCTGAATGTGATTTTAAATAATAATACTAAATATATCTAAAAAAATTAAACTTCTAGTAGATGGTTGAATTATTAACTTTAAATTTTTTACTAACCGCATTAAAGATTCAATTTAAACAATTAGTTTTACCTTCTTTTCAATTTTGATAACCATTAAAATTAAAATGATTGACAAGTCAACCTTATATTATTCAAATATTATTAAATAATTGATGTAAAATACCTAAAATTAATCAAATTTAATATAAATTTACTTCGTCTTGAAGTTCAGTATCAGAACTTTGAGATGAAAGGGCTGTTATAATACTATTGTAATAGTCTTCATTTGTCATTCCAAAACTTGGAGTTGTTGTTTTCATAATTTGATTCAATAACCATGTTTTATCTAACTGTGAAATGCATTCATTATTAAGTCGGTTAATTTTATCAATACTTATAAATTATACATAAAAAAAATATATTTACGTTTACTGTGCTAGAACTTTTTTTTTCTTCTCTATTATAACGCATAGAAAATGAATTCAAAACACTTTTCAAACCAACATCAGGTGTTGGTAATTTTCCAAAATTAGGAGGGACCCATTTTGATCTTGGTTTAAAATATTTTTCAGAGATATTAATTTGTACTTCACGTCTATGATCAGTTTCATGATTATCGGTTTCTTCAATATTTTCCCATAAAGTCTTAATTTTATTTAAATTGTCATTATCCAATATTTTTTCTACTTCTTTTACCAACTAAAAAATAATTTTATAAGTGTAAAAAAATACTTTCTCAATTTTAACTTTATTACCTTAAATATTTGATCAGCATTTTGATTTGATATTTTTCCAAACATACATCGAAGCTCTAAGATATGTTTCATAAGTAATCCAGATTCTCCAATTAACAATTTAAAAAAAAATAAAACTGAAGAACTTAATATTTCAGATTGATCATCTTTTGCTAAAAAATTATATCCATATATTTATGTAGATTATATTTTAAATGATTCAATAAATTTAACTTAACTTTATCCAAATTACTTATTATGAGGAGATTACATAGATAAAAATATTAGAGATAAACTTTATTTAAATTTTATTTATAAATAAAAAAAGTACTATGATTTTTATTAAAAATCAAAATTAGATATTTAAAATGAAAATGAATTTGTTTTAAACATTTTTTATTATTAAACCTTATTACGCATATATTATGCTATAATAATGATACTTACAAAGATCTTTAGCTATTTCATACAACAAATTTAGATTTCTTGAAATAATGTTATTTTGCGACTGATTTATAATAGAACAAATTTCAACAAATGTTAAAGATCTACAAAAAAAAAAAAAAATAAATAAATAAAGAACTATTTTAGTTATAATTCACACATACAAAACATAAAATAATGAAATTCAAAAATTATATTATTGAGTTCATAATACAAATTTTTATTTTAAAACAGAATAACTGAATTAATTTTTAATATATAATATAAATTTAGAAGTTTTAATTTGATATTATAATTTTTTAATACAATTAATACTACAATTTTAGTTAATTTATATAGACACAGGTGATATTTTTTATTAAGATTATTAATTACTTTTGAGTCTGCTTTTCTTGTTCATCTATTCGTTCTTTTATTACATCTAAGTTATACTTCCATGTATTACATGGATCCATTTCATCAATAAAATCATTAGAATAAATTAAAAGAGCTCTGGTAAATTTGGGTAATTGTCCAATATGTTGAGATAAATTTTCTTTAGCCTTGGCCATTTTCAATCAATTAGTAATAACACTTGCAAATGAATTTTATTCGGTGAGAACAAGTAGTTAAGTATTTTAAAGAAATATCTTGAAAGGTTCAAGTATTTATTTAGAAAAAATATATATTTTACTTAAACAGACTGAAAACTATACAACATTTTAACCAAGTAATGAATTACTCTTTGTTTTTATATTAATTTAGAAAATTAATAAATTCAAAAAGAGATTTATTTAAAAATAAGATTGAAAAATTAAATCTCTAACTTCATTTTCAAAAATCTTTATCAGTTTCACGTGACAATAGTACAATACTGAGATAACTCGGTATTGTATACTCGGTTACTTATATGGTTATTACCAGTGTCAGCATGACGATGAAAGATAACATATTATCAAAAAACCAAATGCGCAGTTTTGATTATATTTTTAACTTATTTGTTCAATAGATATTTAGTGATTGGTTACTAACATCGTAGCATTCTGGTTATTTTAATTTTTTAAGTGAACTTATGTAACTTGTTTGGCCCAACAATGTAGCTAAATAAAAAACAATAATCTGATTAATAAATGGACTTTCAGTCCTATTATCCGAGTTATAATAAGAAAACGACCTTATAGCAAAGTTATTAGCCAAGAGCACCTGCATATATTGAAGGTACTGGAGAACAAAGGGTAACATCTTATTTGTGCGAATAATAATTTAACATCCATATTTAGACCTTCACAAATTACAATTACGCCCTTTGTTTTTATTTTTTATTTAGATAAGAAAACTTTTGTCAACTATACAGCTTATTTTTAATTACTTATTTTATCTTTTTTAGCTATGAGTTTGTAATTTAACAAAATTTAGTATTGAATTGTCATCATTTATTTTAGATTTAAAAATGCCAGAATCTGGGTATCAAGTTTTAAATTCTGATAGAGAAGAAGAAGTTCATTTTCAGTTTACTCCAAATGTTGCAAGAAGTATTAAAATTTATAATTTCTGACCTATATTATTATAGCTTTTTGGAATATTTTAAGATGATAATTATATTTTTACAACCATTAACCATTATTTTTAACTAATCTTTGTTCTGATTTAATGTGAATGATTCCAGATATTATTTTTTATTTATAAGTTAAAAGAATTTTACCTTGATTAAATTTCTTTCTACGTTTATTATTAAGTAGCTTAATAATTATAATTATGATTTTAATATAAAAAAGAATTGAATACTTTTTAAGTAAGTTTTTAGATTTTTTTTTTATGTTATGAGAAATACATTATTTAACTATTGAAATAATTTTATATCAAATTTTTGTAGCAAAATTATGATTATTAAGTAAATATCTTTATTTGTCATAATAGATAATTAATTAAGACATTAATATATGATTTTTAGTATTAAGTAAAGAGTTNCAAAATTTTTATGACCTAATGTATCAAATTTTTGTAGCAAAATTATGATTCTTAAGTAAATATCTTTATTTGTCATAATAGAATTAAGACATCAATATATGATTTTTAATATTAAGTAAAGAGTTATGTACCTATTATATTATATAATATAATTTATTAAGTCATATTGAGAACTGCTTAGTTTATTAATATGATAAATTAAGTTTAATAGTATTATTATTTCTATTTTTAGCTCGATGGAATCATATTGAAGATTTAGATACATTTTTTACTAGAATATATTTATATCATCAAAGACATGGTTTTATTTGCTTAATTCTTCAAGCAGCACTTGATCTTCTACAAGTTGTATTTCTATTGGTATTTTCGCTATTTTTATTCTACTGTATTGACTATCCAGTGCTTTTCAGGTATTTTATAAAAGTAAAGTTATTTTTAAGATAAAACAATTATTGTAATATTACTTTTTGAGCATAATTGTACCTAAAATTAAATTTTTATCATAAATAAATGAATTAAAATAAACTTAAGTGAACTTAAATTTCATATTAATTTCAAGTAATTATTTACTGAGTTTTAAGTTATCACTAAAAGTATTAACTATTATCTTCTGTGTCATCATTGTTGCACAATAGTTTTTAAGCTTTATTAATTATAAAATAAGAAATCATTATTATGCTTAAATGTTTTATTTTTTATTAAATAATTTAATGATCTTTACAAATGTATTATTTTTTAGAGATAAGCCTGTAGATTCAGGAAAAGGAGTTAATACAACCGATAAAGTAAAAATTTCAGATGTAATTTTACCAGCATCAAAATGTATAAGTCACTTTACATTTTTGACATATTTGTATATGCTGCCATTGCTTATTTTTGTGATTTTTCGACTAATGAAATTATTTAGTGTAGCATATCATTATGCTGATATTAAAGCATTTTATAATATTGCTCTCCATATACCTGATGTATGAATCAATAATTAGTTATAAGTTTTATGTTATAAATATCTTTTAATTTTAGAAAGAATTAGAGAATTATACATGGCGAGAAATCATTCTTAAAGTTATTAATGCCCAAAAAGAGCAACACATGTGTATACATAAACTTGAACTTACAGAACTTGATATCTATCAAAGAATTTTAAGGTATTAAATTTAAATTAATTATAGGTTAATGAAAATTATTAAAGTATATTTTTTTGCTATTTAAATTTGTGATGTATACTTATATTTCTTAAAATATTGAATTACCTTATTATTTATGTTATATTTTACTACCATAACAATATATTTTTTTTCCGTAAATTTAAAAAGAAATCATTCATTGNAAAATATTGAATTACGTTATTATTTATGTTATATTTTACTACCATAACAATATTTTTTTTTCCGTAAATTTAAAAAGAAATCATTCATTGAATTATTCTTTTTTTTAGGACAAAAAATTACTTAATAGCTCTATTAAATAAGTCTGTACTTCCTACTCAATTTAACATACCTTTAATAGGAGATACAGTATATTTTTCTCATGGAATGAAGTATAATTTGAATTTATTACTTTTTTGTAAGTACTGATCTATAAATTTATATATATTGTATTATTATTTATTAAATTTATAACATTGACTATTAAAATATATTGAAAGTGTAATATTATTGTTATTTGTACATTTTATTTGCATATTATATATTAAAATTCTTATTATTAGTGATAAAAAAAAATGAATAAATCTTGAATTTTTTTGTATTAAGTAAATTATTTATCATTTGAATCAAATTATTTTATATAGGGGGTCCATGGTCACCATTTGAAAATAACTGGCACCTGAAACCTGAATATAAACAACCTGGGAAACGTCTTGAGTTGGCTGAGTCAATGCGTAAAGCTATTGGTTGGGTTGCTTTTGTAAACTTGTTACTTTGTCCTGTAGTATTTACTTGGCAACTTATTTACAAGCTATGTGATAATGCTCAGGTTAGTATTATTTATTAATGATATAAATTAGGATAATTTTTATTTCAGTTATTCATTTTTATTTGACCCCTGGATTATACAAATACTTTGGATATAAAATTTATTATTCAAATATTTCAATATCATAATTTAAATCTTTCAGTAGCATAAATTTTTCTTCTTCTTTTAATTTATTGTAAATACTTCTTCAAATTAATATTAATTACATTTGTAATGATCTAATATAATAGATATTTGAATTAATTTTTGTGTATAATGTGAATCATTAAATACTTTATTATAATCTAATAAATACTTTTTAAAAATCTTGGCAAAAAAAAGGTACAATAATAGAAAATGAAGAAAAAATTTTATTCTTGAATACTTATACTAATTTCTAATTTCAATAAAAAAAAAATTTATCTCTAGATTTGATATATTTTAGAATGTTCTGGAGGATAAGTTTTAGATCCAAACTAAAATATTTTCTTGTGTACAAAAATTCAATAATTATTAATATATTATATTAACTCTTTTTTCAGATAATAAAAAATGAACCTAGTGTATTAAGTGTTCGAATATGGTCTTTATATTCCAAAATATATCTGCGCCATTTTAATGAACTTGATCATGAATTAAGTGCAAGACTTAGTCGTGCATATGTTCCTGCAACTAAATATTTACAAAGTTTTGGTGCCCCTATTAGTGTCATTATTGCTAAGTATGAAACATTTATTCATTATAATTTGTAGCAATTAACTTTATTATTACTTGGTTTTATTTGAATATTTTTTTTTCTAGGAACACTATGTTTTTTACGAGTGCTATTATGGTACCAATACTAGTGTTAACTGTATATGATGACAGCATTTTAACAATTGAACATATGATAACTATATTAAGTGGATTATCACTCTTATTTATAATATGTCGGTTAGTAATGATTATTTTATATTATTATTATTATTTTTTTTGACAAATATGTAAAATTAAAATTATTTAAAATCATTAACAGAGGTCTTGTTGATGATGAAAAAGAAATAGTATGTCAAGAGTCATTATTGACAGCTGTGTTAGCCGAGGTTCATTATTTACCAGACTCATGGGTTGGCAAAGCTCATACTCAGCAAGTTAGCAATCAATTCTCTCAGATTTTTCCTTTTAAAGCTGTATGTTAATTTTTAGTTTTAGTCTAATATATCTTATTTCTTGACATAAAAATTTCATTATTTTACAGAACTATTTAATAAATGAACTGATCTCGCCATTAGTCACACCATTTATATTATATTTTTGGCTACGACCTAAAGCCCTAGAAATTGTAGATTTTTATCGTAATTATACTGCTGATGTAGCAGGTGTTGGTGATGTTTGTGCATTCTCTATGATGAATTTACGTAAAAATGGTAATCCTGCTTGGCGATCTCCTGGGTTTATCACTACAGACAATCCATTATCAAAGTTACCACAGGTAGATCAAGCTGAAGATGGAAAAGTAGAAATGTCTTTACTTAATTTCTCAGTACGTAATCCCACATGGGATCCTGTTGATATTGAAGCTAAAGAATTTGTTGAAGAAATAATAGCTAAAACACGAAAAGTATATTCATCCAGTGATATAGATATTGATCCAGTAGGTTTTAATTTATAATATTTATTTATTATTCTTATTAATTAATATATATTTCTTCAGATCATACAACATGAAATATTAAATAGTAATTTACATATTGCTGATATTCCATCTTGTTTGCTTGGTCTTGACCAAAGTACTAGACTACTACATAAAGAAGGGTAACTAATATTATAGTTATGAATAATTACACCATAATTAATATAATTTTAAAAGAAATATTCAGTATTTTTTTATTGAATACTTTTCTGTTTAATTACCTTTGAAATATTTTTAAAGGAAGGGGGCATTAGTAGTAGTGCATCAAAATTCATGTTTTTTTATTAATCACTACTATAGCAAATAATAAAAAATCTAAATTTTGAAAAAATGATGCATTTATATCAATAGAAATAAGTAAGCTATAGGTAGATAAAACTTATTAAATATGTAATTAATTTCTAAGACACATGTTAATGAATTATGTGGAAAGTTTTTATCCTTATAATTATAGACTTGGTTAGTTTTCATAGACCTTTACTTTTGTTTTTACGTATGATTATATTTTCAAGTCTTTTTAATGAAAAATAGAATTATGATACACAAAATATATTAAAACTTCATTATAAATTCATATTTCATAAGAAATGTATCAATTTTGTAATTGTTAAATACTGTACTATTATAATTTTGTAACGTAGCAATCTTTTTTTTATATAAATAATTTTTTTTGACAAGTTTTTTAATCAACTGAAAAATGTTTTGTTGTATTCCTAAATTAAATTATATAATATTATTTTAGCTTAACCGGTCGTCCAAATAGACTTAATTCTAGCTCTATTATGCGTTCATCAATATTTACTACTTCTGATTACTCAGCATCAATGGAATTAAACCAAAGTGCATTATTACTACACAACATTCATCGAAAGTATATATCTGATATACTTCATTATTTATTTCAATATCTTCTGTACTTGGATTAATTTTTATTTGTAAATACTTTTAGGCAATTAGAAGAACGAGGTAATATATCTAATACATCTGTTATACAATCAACATCTCAAAAATCTAATACAAGTGTCCAAGAACGTACACCATTATTAAAACCAAACCCTAGAATCGTATAACTAAGAGATTTGTTTTAAGCCTTAAAATAACTGTGATATTAATTAAGGTATATTTTGTTAACATGCAGGTATTCTTTACTTTAATTTGACTCAAATATTTATTAACTCATTAGATTTTACGTAAATTCTAAATCTACAACAATTTGTTTTATATTTTGAAAATTGTATGATTATTGATACAATATCTTATTGTATTATTGATTTACATAATTGTTATTGTTTTTTAAATTTAATTCTTATGCAATCAACTATGCCAAAAATTAAGAGATAAATATTATAATTGTCTTGTTTAACTTTAAAATTGTTATTTGTGTAGAATGTATAAGTTTTTATGACACATTAATGTGTGTATTTAAATGTTATTGATTTGATGGTATAATAACTATACTTTTATGTAAACCTCCTTTGTGTTTGTTTTATGTTTTAAATTGATTACTTTAGTAATACTACAAAATTTTGTTTTATTTGTGTGTATACTTTAGGGTGGTCATTATTTGTAGAGGTCAATTTTTTTTTTTTTTTAATTTGATGACGAATACCCCAAATTCTGTTTTATGTTTAGTTTGGTTGTGATAAGTTAACCCGTTCTCGTGCCTCAAAGAGGTTAAATTTTGACCAAATAGCAGTGTATTTTCATTAAATATGAATTTTATGCAAAAAACTTACCGAATCATTATTGTAGAGCTGTATGTTTACTAAACAAAAGTTCCTTATAAGTTTTATTATAAAGTTAATGGTTTCACATTTATTAAAAAAAAAAATTGTATAGTGTTTTGTATAAATAGAATAAAATAAAACTTAGATGTAATTATTATTAAAGTTAATTTTTTTTAACATATATTTTCTGTGACATGGATACTCTTTACGGTACTCTTGTAATACCAAAAAAAAAAAAAATTATATAAAGTTACTTTAGTTATCTTAGTTAACTATTAACATTAAACTTACCTTCAATTTATATTGTTATTGGTTTTCATTTTTTGTGAATTTCAAGTTCGACACTGTTTTTATTATTAATCTGTCCATCAAACAACGAGAAACAAGCTGTTTTTTCTCTCAAATACCATAAATGGTTAATAAATTTTTTAATAAACAATTCCGTCGCTTATTGTCGGATTTATGTACATTAATCAACTGATTTGATACATCCTTTGACAATAAAACAACATCACTTTTTAGTGATATTGTCTCCACTATTATCATTTCAAATTGTTTTTTTAATATGAATAATTTTAAACAAAACATTCCTTTAAATATTCATTTAGCGAGATGGTAAGGTCATGGAGGTAGAAAGTGGATACTTCTAGGTGGTATCCTACTCAAAAAGTATTACCAATACCAACAATTCTTTAAATCTTCCCTAGGTTTATTTCAGTTTAAAGTATTTTTAAAAAATACTATAACTTCATGGACTTTATTTTACAATATTTTTTGATTCCTAGGTCACTTTCCTAAGTACAACATTTTATTAGGTCTATCTCATTACAAACATTTTTAAAACGCTTAAAAATAGGAATTACGGTACCAGAAATTTTTATTAGTTTTGACCTATGAAAAATATTTGACCTAGTCAAATTAGGGAAGATTTTAGAATCTCGATGTACGATTACAAAATTTTAATTTAATTGAAGGAACGCAGTTTTAAATTCGGTAGATAAGTAGCAACGAAAAGTTTCACTTCTTTTGATTGGAGAGTAATTAATTACGTATTCATTTACATATACATTGAATAACTCGGTATATCCTATCAATAAATATACTACAACCCTGTCACTGGTCTTATATTTGTCCAAGGCTGATGCTTCATTATTTCTTTTCAAGCTCGTTTATTTTTCACCGATGTTATATTGGTTTATCCAATATACCATATTGGATACTTATATAATATAAGTATCCAATTAATCTTACTTTTTTAATTCTGGGTAAATTATGTTTTTGCTGTTGATGTACCCAATGTTCTATCAATTTCATCACTAACTGTTGATTTTTCCTCATAAACATTTTGTGCCCCGGTAAAGAAGCTAGATAAATCATAAATTTGGTCATAATCTGTAGAGTCATTTTCATTGGTGCAACTCATAATCGGAATTTTTTAAATATTCTGTAGCCATTTATTTTTTTACTTCGTTTTTAATCCAGGCAGTTTTAAATTGTGGGTGGCAGACAGCAGCAGTAATTAAAAATTTGTTTATCAAAAAATCAGAAAACTTTATTTCTATACCTAAAAGAAAAGAGTAACACTGAAATATTAATATCAACGAAGTTTGTTTTTATTACACTACTCAGTGTACCAAAATATAAATATTCAAAATAAAAAACTCAGCTCAGGGGCGTCGTGGCACAGTGGTGACGTGACATAGTTGGGTCAAGTATAATGATATCTGATTTGAATCCCCCCTGTGGGCAGGTAGAGGGTCAGATTTATAAAAAAAATATACCAGATGATAAGTAAAGATATCATGCATCTATAAAAAAAATTATTTTGATTAGGTTTTTTTTGAAAAAGTTATGGTAGTTTTAAGTAAAAAAAATTGAAAAAATGTCAAAAATTAGCAAATAAAATTTGTAATTTTTTTTGGAGATTTCCCCCATTTATGGGGAATGAGAGAATTTTTTTCAATTTTTGAGGGTAATGTCTTTGACTAGATACGATTTGTGATCTTTTGACATATCGTTGAAATAATCGGTTCGGTGAGAGCTGAGAAAAATTGGTAACAGACAAAAAAAAAAATAAAAATAAAGCTAGGCCGTGCTGACTGATTTAAACTCTACCTCTTAGTGGTTCACTAATTGAAGGAATTGCGGCTGACTAGTGTATCCAATGAGAGGACTCGAGAAGAACTAAAAACGACGAACTCGTTAAAAGTATTAGTTAATTTATGTACTAATGTTGTGTCTACAAGGGGATACTACAGACGTTTTCGTGTTGTTTTCGCTTAAACAGGCCGATACACCATCCGATAAAAAAAAATGAAAACATACCAGATCACTTATCACGAGTCACCATGACCCACTGGCTACTGGTACGTGGCCACGTTTAAGCTCATTACAACAGACATCTTACTCAAATTAAAGACCCAATGTGAACAGTAGGACTTTTAATGAACCGTCTACTAGCAAAGAAACCAGACAGCTGATGCAGACCAAGAATTGCAAGACCAACTGGCAGCACTTATGAAAGGACCTAAAGTCTTAAATTTAAACTAAAGAAACGTAGTGGTATATTGGAAAAGTTTTAAATCAATAATAGTCATTACATATATAGTTTTTTAACCATCAAATGACACCCTGAATAAATGTAATATTCACTTTTATCAAAACACCTTTCATTTTTTTAATTTTAATTTTTTATAAGATAGTTTAATATAAATGTTGCTGTTTAAAAAAATAAAGTTAAGACTCCTATAAGATATAAGGAATGATACTAAAAATGATTTTATAACAGATAATTGAAAATACATATTTAACTAACAAAAATTAAGAAAATAATTTTCAAAAATCTTATTATTTTAAGAATCACTCAGTGTCTAGCTCAAAAAAAATCATCCAGCACTATTGTGACGTAAGTGGTGTCATGTAATATATTACTTTATGCGTTTTTAATATACTGATTTCATTTTGCCTACTATCTGCCAAAACAAATAAAACATTACAATTTAAACATATGTATATTATTATAATATACATATTATGATTATATAGTAATGAGCGTGTATATTTTTATATCTTGGTGCTAATATTTTAATATGGGACTCGACTTATTTTATTTAACTTATTAATTGTCAAAAACTCAAATCATATCTGATAAATATTGTGATGGTCACGTTGCCATTACTGTGAGAATTTATTATAATAAAATACAGACAGCACGTCCACTTCTAGAGACTGATGAATTAACAATTAAATATTATTGCTAAATTGGCAAAATAGTCCAAATTATTATAAAAACCCAAAAGACCTGGCCATCTTGGTCAGTCGACTCCAGTGCCTTGTGTCATTCATCAGTGTCAGTACTCGGTTGTCGCTGCCCGACTTACTGCATTAAGTCAAGTCTTTGTTTTTCCTTTTTCAATTACCTACTCCCGTCCTCAACTTCGTCTGCACCACATACCTGGGTGTTATCCTTATTCCCTTCCCATAACAATGGCCTTTCGACACCCACAGCTAACCCGGAGTGTCAGCCGAGCACAGTAACTGCTGTGTAATTACACGCACGTGAATAACCAGTCAGCAGACTCTACATCAGCGTCGTATACACATACTCATCATCTTCATCATCCTAGTCTTATTTCCTTTTAATTGTTTTACGACGATATTACTAATACTAAAAATTCAAAAAAACTTTTTTCAACTCAAAAAGAATTAAGAACGAAAAACAAAAAAGGTAATTTCAACAGGTGTGGTACCACGACTTTAAAAGACTTGGGCCAAACCGACGCGACAACTATATATCGTATATAATAATAGAAAAAAGTCAATTTAAAATAATTAAAAAAATTAGTCATTTTTCTTAATCTAGGGTAACAAAATAAGTTAAATTTTATATTCAATGTAAGTTAGATTCATGTAACATTTATGGAAATCAGCGGGGCCTCATTACTATGGTAAATCCTTTAATGGTATTATAATATAAAAAAATCATCGTTATTTTATTTATACATAGTGTTCATTAAAATTATTTTCGAAAAATTTGTTAATATATTTTTAAAAACTACTAAAGGAAGTTAGTAAACATTTATACATTCTTTTTAATCCAAAATTTTAATATTTATCCAAAGGTCCAATTGCCTTGCACTCTCCTATATTCTTCACTGAAAATATTGAGGAATTTTCCCTTTGGTGTAAGAACAAAATTATTTTTTTATTATTTTTAATAAATGATGATTTTTTAGCTTCAATGTGAAGCTGAGAAGGTATTAGTTTTACTATGATATCTTTTTTTTTTTTTTGTGTCTATTACGACTTTTCCTCAGCTCTCACTGAACGGATTTCTTTCAACGATACGTCAAAAGATCACAAATTGTATCAAGTCAAAGACATTAGCCTTAATAACTGAAAAAATTTCCCTCGTTTTCCAAAAATGGGGGAAATCTCCAGAAAAATTACAAATTTAAAAATCACCAATTTTCGAAATGTTTTCAATTTTTTTTTACTTAAAACTTCCATAACTTTTTCAAAAATGAACAAATCAATATCATTTTTTTTTATATAAATGCATGATGTCTTTACTTATCATTTTGTATATTTTTTTTATAAATTTAACCCTTTACCTGCCCACAGGGGGGATTTAGAATGACAACTTTTTCACAAAAAATTTCGGACTTTATTTTATCTTCACGGTAAAAATGGCTACCAAATGCTATTTTTGTGTGAAAATTTTTGATTTTGTATTTTACATTTTTAACTTTATTATGCTATAAATGTTTGAAAAATGTATGGATCAATACAATTTTTTCATGAGAAGTAGTATTTATATACATATTTCATTCGACATCCTGTTTTTTTAAATCGGACCATTTCCCTATATACAAAAGGGGTTCAAATCTAAAAAATACATGTAGAAAGTAGAACTTTTTCAACTTAACTTTTGAAAGTGTTCTGGAAAGTCTGAGACTTTTATATATATCTTAAATTAAAGGTAATGTAGTATACTTTATTATGGAAAAAAAAAATTTTGGACTTTATTTTGTCTTCACGAAGAAAATACACATCAAAGTTTTAACCAAATGCTATTTATGTGTGAAAACTCTCGATTTTATTTTTTACATTTTTAACTTTATAATGCTATTTTTAATATTTAAATAATAACTTATTGAAAAGTGGATGGATAAACATAATTTTTTTTATGAGAAATAATATTTTTTAATAATCCCTTTTCATTCGACATGCTTTATCTTAATCAGGATATAAATAAGGAAATAGCAGATCATGTAACTTTTGGAATAATCCACCATTTTTTTAAAAGTAAACACTATCTAAAGATTCGTATCGAAGAGTTTTTTTTTTATAGTGATTTTAATTGCTATCAGATATTATTATACTTGATCCAACTATGCCACGTCACCAATAAGCTGCGTTTTTTTTCATTTAACCTTTCAACGTACCATTTACAGCAAATAGTTAACCCTCAAACAAATTTTAATAGTATGGCTAGTTTCTTAAAATACACTACGATTAATTGTACTAATCATTGTGTACAATAATATAACTATTGATTCTAATATTTTAAATGTTTGACAATTTTGAAAATTTTTATTTTGTGAACAGTCTTTAGACGTTTGAAAAATACGTAGGAAAATTATCAAATAACATAATTTATTGATATAAAAATTTCAAATTCATATTTTTTTAAATTAATACTATTATTAGAATTTTTTTAACCTATTTGTGTAACAATGCATTTTTGAAACAATATAAACTTAAATTCATGTATATAACTACGTCATTAAAATTTCTATAAATATTTTACTTTTATAAAATCAAATTTACACAGTAATATTATATTAAAAAAATTACAAATCGCAATTATAAATTATAAGCAATTAAAAGAGTTCAATATTATTTTACTCTTAAAAATAATATTTTATAATAAATTTCGTCTTATAATATTAAAAAAACATGTCTAAAAAAGTTATTTTATATGAGTTTTTCTTATATTGGCAATTAAGTCAAGTTATAAATGTATATTGTGATTCTCAAAGTAAAAATTTTAAAAAATATCTTATTAACTCATTAAACCACATTCGTGTTCAAAATGGATGGGACTTAATTCAACAAACAGAAATTAAACTTGAGCACTTCACAATTAACACCATAAGCATCACAAGTGACATTATTAATGAAAATAACTTTATACAAAAACTCTACTGTATAACTTGTTTTTTAAATTGTGAATTTACTAACCTAATGCAAACTTTTAATGTAATGTTAGGCCTTATTTTAAATAAGTGTGAAATGAATGTTTTAAATAATCAATTTACTGAATTGAAATATTGCACAAATCTTATTATTCATATTTTTAAATGTTCAGTAAATATGTTTAAAAAAATGTTGAAAACAGCAAAATATCTCGAAAAAATCGATCTACGAATTATAGACTCGCCTATTCTTAATATTAAAACTGTAGATTCTGAAATAAATTTTTTTTACACACACGCATTAGAGTTAATCAATGACTCATTAGTTAATTTATATAGTATTGAAAGATGGGTAAATATTTATGAAAATATAAAAGATTTCAATAGAAAAGCTGAATTAGTGACAACAAATCTTTACAAAATTAGAAAAGTGTGTGGGGCAGAATATAAAAGTTCTATTTTAATCAATTTAATGATGAAATATAATATCGATCAAATGGAAAAGCTGGTAGAGGATTCCTACGATTATATTGATGATATTCATAAAGATCTTGAATTATATATTTTGGATAGAACTGAAAACTGTTACTCAAAACTAGGCTTTGAACAACTAAACGGAACAAATACGTTTAAGTAAGATTTATAGTTTAGTACGTTTTGTTGTTTAAATTTCAGAATTTTATTTTGTTATTTAAATAGTAACATTATTAAGATATTAATTTAGAGCATTTAAGCATGTTTTTTGTTTGGTTCATACAGGTATATTCATTCCAACAGTAATATGTACCGCATTTATGAAGGCATTGAATTGTGTAATCATTTAATATCTCACGCTGGTTGGATGTCATGGAAACATATAGCTGTTGAAACAGAACCTACAAAAGGAATACCACTATATTTTAAAGATATTGTACAAACTGTTGATAAGAATAATTATTATTTCATAAGGTCATATCTTGCAATTATTTTAAGATGTCGCTATATTGAAATATTCAATAATTTTAATGTAATGTTGGGACATATAATTAATGTTTGTAAATATGAAAATAAAATTAATTGCGCGGTTAGGCTTTATGAAACACTTATGCTGTCAGATGATATGTTTAAAAAAATGTTCATTGCTCTGACTACTTTGAGATACTATGAAAAGGAAAAAAAATATCAACGTCAAGAATTATTAATACAGAAAGTGGTAGAGTTTTTTATTGATTATTTGAATCATGTTAGAAAAAAGTATTTTTCCTCAATTTTATTTATTAATGATGGACTTTATGAAGCTCAATCGTTTTTTGAAGACGTAGCTCACTTTCATTCTTTAGATTTACAGAGAAAATTAAACGACGTAATTCAATTTGACATGAAATATTGCAAAATTAAGAAATGTGAAACAGACATAATTACAGCATTTGAACAATTGATTCAAACCAATACCTTAACAGAATATAGTACTCTTCATGTTATGTGTGATTATTTAGAAACATTTTTTCTAAACGTTGTGAAAAATGATTATGAGTATTTAGGTTTCAATGATTTGCCTTGTAAACTTTGATTTTTTATTGAAGACTTAATAAAATAATGGATATATGTTATTATAAAATAATTATTTTTTCCTAAAAATATTTGTAATACGACAAAAAGTTTTCTTTTTTATATATTTGTATATTATGGTAATATTTTACTTTGGTTGAGCCGATTTTGGGACGTATAACTGTCGTGCTTTATCGGTAATTCTGTGCTTGACGTTCGGTTGATACCCGAAGACGTTAATCTTATTCTCTAATTATAAAAGTTGTAGGCATAATAATATTTCTTTATATACGTCTTATTTTTTTCTTTCTCTTTCTTTTCCTTTTGTTCCCTTTAATTTTAGACGAAGCTTTTCGGATTTTTTCTCAAGTAAACTTGATATAAAAATTATTAATAGCCTAGTATTATTTAATATAGTTTCTTATTGTTGTTTTTATCACTAGGTCATTTTCCAAATTGCCAAATACAATTTTAAGTAAATTAAAAATTTAATTGCACAGTTATCAGAAAAGAATAATCATACTACTGTTGCTCGTATTTGTGTTAATGTATTTTAATTTTATACTATTAATTATTAGAGATATTATTATCTAAATATATTTAGTAGTGTATATTTTTTTAATATACTCTATCACGACCGTTCTATTTAAATTATAACTCGTTTTTCATTATTTTTCTTAAGTGTTTTTTCTTGGTATAAAATAAAAAAAATTCCTAAACATTAAAACAATGTTTTCGGGTTACTACGCGTTGCAGTCAGTACTGATAAACATAATGAAAATACATCTCTTGAACCAACAAATCTAAAAATACTGCTATGATGTTATATAGAGATGAATATAATGAACAAGCAGAATAAAGACAGATTCAAATACGTAACACCTACACCACTAGATGGGTTCATAGATGTCAGCTCTTTTAATATCACACTCATTGGCAGTTAATTCACTTATTTCAGCCGTGGTAGACAAGCCCATACCTTTTAAAATTTATTTCCGGGATTTCGTATTTTTTGAATTTTGTTTCGGTTAATTTCATATCCAAATCTATTTATTATAAACTTAAAATTACCGCTAAACCGGGCGTACTCGTTTACCTTTAATATCCAAATATTTTTGACTAGGAATTGAATAGCCTTCCGAGTTTTTAATTGATATTCTAATTTCATTGTTATGAAAAACAGCGTATGTGGAAAATGGTAATTACGAGTATTATTCGTGTTGAATCAACATCAACGCACTTGACCAACTCGTTTAAAGTCCTCTCTTTTATTATAATGTTGCAACACTTTGTTGAAATTGTAGTCATTGAAATTTATTTCTCCGACTTAAAAAAAAAAAAAGGAAAATTTTAGTATACTTTGAATGATAAAAATTATACAAAAAATATCTTTTAAGGATGTTTCTTTTGTGCTGTTAAGTTTACATTTTTGTTAAATAAAAATATTTTTAAACAAAAGATTGCCAATATTACAAAACCATACATCTGGCTAAATGATATAGAGTAACCCCACTCAAAAATATAATTGCAAGATCTAAATATTTTTGATAATCATCTCGAGGAAGATTTTTAGTAATTTTATTTTTTGCGTATATAAAATGATTTTATGTTTCTCTTTTAAAATATTATTAACATAAGTATCAGAAACTGACGTAGAAATTGTGTTTTATCAATTTTTTCCTAGCACTGTTGAAATTTTTCTAACAATAATATTTCTGGTCCGGTTAAAGGATTAAAAGTAACTTTCAAAAATAATTTTCAATTTCAAAAATATGATATCGGGATTCTAAGATTAATATTTCGCTATCAAAACGTTAATCCGACAAAACACATGCCCATTAGATCATTCCGTATTAGTGATTGTAGTATCAGACGTAAAAATTTGTACTTTTTCTAATAGTGTCCATTTGATCAAAGCTTCAAAAACAGAAAATAATACTTCTAAACCTGTCCTTGCGGGTATCTGGACGATTTGAAGAAGCTGTTAAATATTTAATGCCATTTCAATGATAAGAAGATGATCTAAATTTTTTTCTTGTAATAGCAGGAAGTATTTTTGTGTTCCAATAAGTACTGAGAGTAATGATTTTGATTTTTAATATGTTAAAAATAATCAAAATGACATATTTAACCAATTTTTTTAATGCTTTAAATTTGATTTTGTGAAAGCTTATAATAAAAAAAAATTTATTTATTTTGCCATAACTTATAACTCAATTGGCAAGTTTGAAATTAACATTATTAAATAGAAAATTTTATGAAAATTAAATTAACATTATAGTTAAGATTATAATGGAGTCAAGCCCTTTAAATTTTTATACGCGTTAAAAGTAAAAAAAATTTTTTAACTACTTTTAGCTTCGATGCGAAGCTGAGAAGCTATTAATTTTACCATGATGTGTTTTTTTTTTTTATGTCTGTTGCCACTTTTTCTCAGCTCTCACTGTACCGATTTCTTTCAATAATACGTCAAAAGATCACAAATTATATCTAGTTGAAGAAATTACCCTTAAAACTTGAAAAAATTTCCCTAATTCCCCGCAAATGGTGGAAAAATCCAAAAAAATTACAAATTCAAAANTTTCCCTCGTTCCCCGCAAATGGGGGAAATATCCAAAAAAATTACAAATTCAAAAATCGGTAAATTTTGTCATTTTTCTCACTTTTTTTTCTTAAAACTTCCATAACTTTTTCATAAATAAACAAATCAACATAATTTTTTTTTATACTAAAACCTTAGATTAAATAATTAATTTTTCTTATAAATAGTTGTAATACAACAAAAAGTTGTCGCTCTTCCTTTTTGTATATTTTATATTATGGTAATATTTTACTTTGGTTGAGCCGATTTTCGAACGTATAATCGCCGAGCATTATCAGTAATATTATGCTTGGAGGTCGGTGGATACCGGAAGACGAATATTCTCTATTTATAAAAATTGTAGGCTTAACAATATTTTAGCTTCGTTGGGAAGCTGAGAAGACATTAGTTTTATTATGTGTTGTATTTTATTTTATTTTTTCTAATTCTACTCAATCTGAGCTCTTACTTGATGAACAATACGTAGAGCACGATTCAACCTAGACTGTAGTGCAGCTAAACGAGTTATACACTACCCTTTTAGCTTCGATGCGAAGCTAAGAAGGTATTAATTTTACTATAATGTGTTTTTAGCTTCGATACGAATCTGAGAAGGTATTAATTTTACCATGATGTGTTTATTTTTTTATTTTTTTTTTTGTCTGTCACTACTTTTTCTCAGCTCTCACTGAACCGATTTCTTTTAACAATACGTCCAAAGATCACAAATTGTATCTAGTTGAAGACATTACCCTTAAAAATTTAAAAATTTTCCCTCGTTCCCCGCAAATGGGGGAAATATCCAAAAAAATTACAAATTTAAAAATCGACAAATTTTGTCATTTTTTTCACTTTTTTTTCTTAAAACTTCCATAACTTTTTCATAAATAAACAAATCAACATAATTTTTTTTTATACTAAAACCTTAGATTAAATAATTAATTTTTCTTATAAATAGTTGTAATACAACAAAAAGTTGTCGCTCTTCCATTTTGTATATTTTATATTATGGTAATATTTTACTTTGGTTGAGCCGATTTTCGAACGTATAATCGCCGAGCATTATCAGTAATATTATGCTTGGAGGTCGGTGGATACCGGAAGACGAATATTCTCTATTTATAAAAATTGTAGGCTTAACAATATTTTAGCTTCGTTGGGAAGCTGAGAAGACATTAGTTTTATTATGTGTTGTATTTTATTTTATTTTTTCTAATTCTACTCAATCTGAGCTCTTACTTGATGAACAATACGTAGAGCACGATTCAACCTAGACTGTAGTGCAGCTAAACGAGTTATACACTACCCTTTTAGCTTCGATGCGAAGCTAAGAAGGTATTAATTTTACTATAATGTGTTTTTAGCTTCGATACGAATCTGAGAAGGTATTAATTTTACCATGATGTGTTTATTTTTTTATTTTTTTTTTTTGTCTGTCACTACTTTTTCTCAGCTCTCACCGAACCGGTTTCTTTCAATAATACGTCTAAAGATCACAAATCGTATCTAGTCGAAAATATTACCCTTGAAAATTGAAAAAAATTCCCTCGTTCCCCGTAAATGGGGGAAACCTCCGAAAAAATTACAAATTTAAAAATGGCTATATTTCGAAATTTTTTTAATTTTTTTTACTAAAAACAGCGGTAACTTTTTTAAAAATAAACATATCAATATAATTTTTTTTTTTATAGATGCATAATGTCATTACTTATCATTTGGTATATTTTTTTTGTAAATCTGACACTTAACCTGCCCACAGGGGGGGATTTAAAATGACAACTTTTTCACAAAAAATTTACTTTATCAACATAACTTTTGAAAATGTTCCGGAAGGTCTGACACTTTTATATATATCTTAAATTAAAGCTAATGTAATATACTTTAATTTGAAAAAAAAAAATTTGACCTCTGGACTTGTCTTCACGGCGAAAATGGCTACCGAATGCTATTTTCGTGTGAAAATTCTCGATTTTATTATTTATATTATATTTAACTTTATAATGCTATAACTTATTGAAAAGTTTATGGATCCACACAATTTTTTTATGAGAAATAATATTTTTTAATAAACCCTTTTTCATTTGACATACTTTATCTTTATCGAGATATTAATAAGGAACCAGCAGATCAAGTAGCTTTTGGAATAAAACACCATTTTTTTTAAAATTAAACACTATCTAAAGATTTGCATCGAAGCGTTTATTTTTGATAGTGATTTTAATCACTGTCAGATATCATTATACTTGATCCAACTATACCACGTCACAACTGTGCCGCGACCCCTATGTGCTGGGTTTTTTTTATTTCTCTTTATACATAGAGGGTTCAAACCTTTAAATATGCTTATTTAGCTTAACATCAATTAGGTGTCGCGCTCTAGACATAACTTTGGCATCTAATCGCAGTTCGAACCACATGGCTGTACTGCACAAATTCTACCTTCATTTCCCTGTCCATATATATTAGGTAAAAAAAAAACAAATATACTTTACTAAAAATTATTATTAATTTAAAAAAAATTGATCTCTGGATTTGTCCTCAAGTGAAAATAATATACAAATATACAAAAAAGAAGATCGACAACTTTTTGACGTATTACAAATATTTTTAGGAAAAAATAATTATTTTATAATAACATATATCCAATATTTGATTAAGTCTTAAATAAAAAATCAATTTTTACAAGGCAAATCATTGAAACCGAAATAGTCATAATCATTTTTCACGAACTTTAGAAAAAAATTATTTCATAATCTATAGTTTTAATATTTAGAATAGGCAAGTCTATAATTCGTAGGTCGATTTTATCGAGATATTTTACTGTTTTCAACATTTTTTGAAACATATTTACTGAACATTTAAAAATATCAATAATTTTCTCAGTGCAATAAATCAATTCGTCATATTGTTTATTTAAATATTTAACTTTACACTTATTTAAACACAAAGCATAAACATAAAATTACATAAAATGTTTGCATTACATTACTATATTCACATTTTAATATAAAAGTTAGTATTGAGTTTTTATTTTTAATTAAATATTTCTTAGGACTCTACCTCTTACATTAACTGCGTGGTTACTCCAGAATTTAAGTAATAAATTTACTACTCAGAGTGATAAAAAAAGGAGAAAAATTTGGTAGGAAAAAAAAAAATGTTCATTAAACAAGGTGAAAGCATCATAGGTAGATAGAGCATAATCTATCTACAAAATTCTATTTCGTGTAGCAACACTGTTTGTTTTCCATATCTTGGAGAACATAACAATAACCATAAAGTGACTGTCAAATGACTGTATAGTTAAGATCCGTCAGCACGGTCTATCTCAAAAGTAGCAGACTTAAGGTTGGGTTTGCAGCCATCAGCACAGCTACCGTTTCACTATATCTACTAAAGAACAGTTAAGCCCAAAAACTAGCCAGCATCCACACTAATTGTTAAAATTGACTAAAGGACCAGTAGTCAAACCATGACTTTTGTCGCACACACACACTCTCACAAATTTAATAGCTCGATGGATATAAAGTGTCAGTTTTCGAATAGTTTTATTCTATTGACGAAACGTAATAAACACTCATTATATATGTTCACATAATTTTTACGTCAATCCCCTTTACTTTACATGTTTCCCATTCACCATATGTCATAAATAATACAACAATTGATTCTTATATATTTAATGTTTGACAATTTAAAAATTTTTTATTATATTGATACTCTTTAGACGTTTAAAAAGTATGTTGGAAATTATCAATTAAAATAATTTATTGAAATAAAAATTTCAAATTCATATTTTTTTAAATAAATACAATTTTTAGAATTTTTCAATCATTTCAATGACAATAAATTTAAAAACAATTTGAACTTAAATTTCTATTTATATATCTACGTCATAAATATTTTACATTATAAAAACACATTTAGACAGTAATATAATTTTAAACAAATCACCAATTGCAATTAAAATGACTATAAAAAAAATTATGTCGTTAATAAAGTGTAAGCTATATAAAAAAGAATTTTAAATTATTTTATTCATAGATATATAATATAATAAAAATCGTCTTATAAAATTAAAAAAACATGTATAAAAAAGTTATTTTATATGAGTTTTTCTTATATTGGCAATTAAGTCAAGTTATAAATGTATATTGTGATTCTCAAAGTAAAAAATTTAAAAAATATCTTATCAACTCATTAAACCACATTCGTGTTCAAAATGGATGGGACTTAATTCAAGAAACAGAAATTAAACTTGAGCACTTCACAATTAACACCATAAGCATCACAAGTGAAATTATCGATGAAACTAACTTTATACAAAAACTCTACTTTATAACTTGTCTCTTAAATTGTGAATTTACTAATATATTGCAAACTTTCAATGCAATGTTAGGCCTTATTTTAAATAAGTGTGAAGTGACTGTTTTAAACAATCAATGTACTGAATTAAAATATTGCACAAATCTTATTATTAATATATTTAAATGTTCAGTAAATATGTTTCAAAATATGTTGAAAACAGCAAAATATCTCGACAAAATTGATCTACGAATTATAGACTCGCATACTTTTAATATTAAAACTGTAGATTCTGAAATAAATTTTTTTTACACACACGCATTAGAGTTAATCAATGACTCATTAGTTAATTTATATAGTATTGAAAGATGGGTAAATATTTATGAAAATATAAAAGATTTCAATAGAAAAGCTGAATTAGTGACAACAAATCTTTACAAAATTAGAAAAGTGTGTGGGGCAGAATATAAAAGTTCTATTTTAATCAATTTAATTATGAAATATAATATCGATCAAATGGAAAAGCTGGTAGAGGATTCCTACGATTATATTAATGATATTTATAAAGATCTTGAATTATATATTTTGGATAGAACTGAAAACTGTTACTCAAAACTAGGCTTTGAACAATTAATTGGAACAAATACGTTCAAGTAAGATTTATAGTTTAGTACGTTTAGTTGCTTAATTTTATTTATTTATTTTTTTAAAAGGTAAAATTTTTATGGTAATAATTTTGAGCTTTCATACATGACTTTATTTACTATGCAGGTATATTTATTTCAAAAGTAAGAAGTATTGCAATAAGGAAGGTATTGATTTGTGTAATCATTTTATATCTCACACTGG